CTCCTGATCCTCTTCTTCCATGAGGGTTTGATTATAGCCCGAGTAGGCGTCTAAGAAGCTCAGTAGTTCATGCCCTGCCATTGCGTCGATGAGTTGGTCGATGTGAGGTAACGAGAACGAATCCTTGGGGCATGCTTTGTTCAAATCTGTGAAATCTACGCACATCCTCCATTTCACGTTCTTCTTTTTCACCATGACTACATTAGCCACCCATTTGGGGTATTTCAACTCCCTGATGGAGCCGTTTTCCAATAATTTTTCGACCTCTTCGCGTACCACATCATTTATTGCGGAGTTGAACTTACGCCTAACCTGCCTCATCGGGGGGTGGAATGGGTCGACGTTCAGCTTGTGCGTGGCGATTTCCTTCGGGATACCTTGCCTATCTGCATGGTTAAAAGCAAACAAGTCCGCGTTAGTAGTTAAGAATTGACAAAATTTACCTAGTTCTTGAAGCTTGCAGCCGATGTAAACTTTCTTGCTATGGTCGTTGCCATCTAATTGAACGGGGTTGAGGTCTTCTATGGTCGATCCCGCGGCTTCAACCGTTTCGGGGTCTTTGATGACGTCCTCGTTCGACCATGACCCTGTTGATTGCTATGCCTCTTTTTCTTTGTCCTTCGTTTGCTGAGTGACCGTACAGTCTAGAGCGATGCGGTAGCATTCCCTGGATCTGCGTTGTTCCCCTCGTATACTGAATATTCCCCGTGGAGTTGGGAATTTGATGACTTGGTACAAGCTCGAGGGGATGGTTCTCATGGTGTGTATCCACGTTCGCCCTATTATAGCGTTATATGTTGTGTCTTGGTGCATGATATGGAATGTGGTTTCCAGAGTGACGCCACCGGCTAGGACGGGGAGTGTGATCTCGCCGGATGTTCGCTCAACTGCATTGTTAAAACCCGTTAGCGTGATGCAGCGCGGTACTATCTTATGCTTGAGTTTCATTTGTGCAAGTACTCGAGGGTGGATAATGCACGTGCCGCTTCCATCATCTACCATAATGCGTCTCACATCGGTATCTAAAATTCGTAAAGTGATAACAAGGGCATCATAGTGAGGGAAATCCAAATCGTTGGTATCCGACTTGTCGAAGATGATACTTTCTTCGAGTTCATCATACCGTTCGTGGGTGATTGACCGTTTGAGCTTGTGGGTTGTGGTAAATTTCACACTGTTGATAGAAGCATCGTCGCCGCCGTCAATGATCATGTGGATGGTGCGGGTTGGCGAGGGTGGTTTTGGCGGTCGTTGATGTTGTTCACGTCCTTTGGCAAAATTGGTCCTTCCTCGGTCGCTCAGCAACTCTTTGAGGTTTCTCTGTTGTAGCATGTTTACGACCTCCTGTCTTAGGGTGATGCAATCCTCGATTTTGTGTCCTCGTCTTGGTGGAACTCGCAAAAGGCATCTGATTTTCTGGTATTCGGGTCTGACCTCATCGTTTGTGGCCACTTCACCTTAGTTCTGAGCTTCTTCAAGGCGTAGACTATTTCTGTAGGTGGCACACAAAAATTGTGAGCGGATAATAGGGGGCATACCTCTTTCGTTCCGGTGAGTCCCTGCTCTTGATCGGGGTGGGCCCTCTTCGTGGCGGGAAGAGGATGCAAATGGCGGTTCTGACATACGGTAGATTCCTCTCCCTGTTGGGTCGTGGATCTGCGAGGTCCCTCCTGATATCATTTCTTCGATCTTTTTTGAGTTCGGCTTGTACTNGGGGGGGGGGGGTACATCATAAGCCGACTTAATAACTTTCTCGTTTCCCTTGAACCATTTCTGCTCAACCCGTTCTGGAAAGCTGCAACAACGATCCCTTTCGATACATTTGGTAAGGTCATTCTTACTCGGTTGAATCAGGCGAGGAAGTCCCTCAATCCCTCTCCCGACGACAGTTTGATAATGAATATGTCGTTTACTAGTCTCGCGTCTGCCTTCTTGGCCCCGGCATGAGCCGTTACGAACTTGTCGGCCATTTCTTCGAATGTTTCAATGGAACGCGCGGGCAGCTGTGAATACCATGTTAATGCTCCTCCAGTGAGGATCTCGCCGAATGTTTTCAACAAAATGGAGGATATTTGTTCCTTGGCGAGGTCATTGCCTTTCACAGCGGTGACGTAGTGGGTCACATAGTCTTCGGGGTCGGTCGTGCTGTCGTATATTTTCAGGTAGGGTGGCATTTTAAAGGTCGTTGGTATGGCATGTGGGCGGCATCGTCACTGTACGGCTACTCTACGAACCGACTGACAACTCTCTTCGGCAAGAGCTTAGGAGCGCCCGATATTTTATCGACCCTTTCTTGGTGTTCTCTCATTTGGTCCCGAAGTACCTTGTTCTCATTTTCCATTTCCTCTAGAATGGTCGCGAGAGTGTTGTGACATGCATTGTTAACAACATTGTGAGTAATACCTGTCGATGCATGAGGAGGAGGAAGTTGATCATGTTGCTCGTCTGCTGGTGGTACAATGCAAGTCCTTGCGCTTTCTGTAGCCGCGTCTCGAACATGCTCATGGAGGACGCTGGTTAGCGTGTCAGTTAGCCAAGTCTCAAGGAGCTTTTTTATTGATGGTGGCGTCTCTTCCATCACGGATGTGGAGGCTCCCTTACCAAGAGATTTAGTGATGCTACAGTAAGGAAGGGGTGACCCGCCTCGCCTAGGGGAGGCATTGGGCGTTACGTCCTCGTCCACTGCTTCAGAGCTCTCATTGATGATGCTCATGAGGTTGGTTGGGAGGTCGCTCATTATTCTCACTCTTTCTTCTCTGTTACCTGCCATAGTAGATGTGTGTATACAAGAAAGGGAATCTTGTTCTTGGTCTCTTTTTTTTTTACGTTAGCAATCCGTGTTAGTTGTGGATCTAGAGGAAACTAAAAATTTAACTAGGAAATCCCCACATATGGTGCCAAATTGTTTGACCAAAAAATATAACTTTCGGTTAAACCTTTATATTTATGTAATGTTGGGTTAAACATAATTAATAATAATATTTCTAAACGTGGATCTTGAAAATACGGATAATGTGGGGTTGATCTAGTGGGTGATTAATAATATCATGCATTAAATATTCCAAAAGTATGAGCAATAATTTAGGAGTAACTAGCAATAAATAACAATAAATGGCATTTAAGTAAATAGAAGGAATGATTCACCCAATAATGAATGAGTTAGATGATTGTTCCTCCTGACAATGATGCGTGACAGATAAATCCTAGAATATTCGAACTATTCTCGGATCTGATGGAAAAGTATGGAATAATATGAGCAAGAATCTTAATGAAAAGAATATATCTGTATCTTTGCTAGAGAGAGATTCTTCTTCCGAAAAGTGTTCTTATCAAGTGAATATCACATATCTTTATTCATTATTTTTTTTCCTGTTTGTATGGGACATACCCCCAATAAACTCTAATTACACAAGTACAAAGAATATCCAAAGAAATATTCTCTTTAATATCCTACCCTAGTAAATTAGTCATTACTATTCTTTCCGCCGTGCTCGACATCGACCTGCGTCTGCATCTCGACCACAGGCTTCACCATCTCCAGGTCGACCTCGGCGGACTCTTTTCTCGAAGTTACTTCCCACCAAATACTGAGACAGATTTCGACTCATACATCTATCACGTTCAATTTTATGGTAACTCATTAAATAAAGGCAAAATATCTTAAAACCCCCCTAAACCTGGCACGCATTATTGGTTACATCCTTGAACTATCTATGGTCTTAATTACCCCCCTATACTTGGTTATTCGATAGCTATTACCCCCTTGGGCGATCTCATCTCAGGAAAGTGGCATGCACTCGCCTGCCATGTGAATTTTTTTGTTTATGTGGCATTTTTTTGAAAAATAAAATATATTTTTACATTTTTAAGTATGTTACTTTTTTAGATAAAATTGTTCGAATAAAATTTATAATACAACTTGGATATAACTATATTATTTAGGCTAAAGTTTTTTATTTGGCTAAAAATAATAAAGTTTTAGTTATTCTTTTTTTGAATTTGACCTGAAAATAAAGATTTATACAATTGAAATAAATAGTCAAAGGCATCTAAAAAGTTATAAAAATACATAGTTTGAAATTAATTATTTTGGCTATAATTTTTTATATAGCTCTAACTTATGGTGCTCTAAATTTTTTATTTATTTTTTTTTTTTTACAGATTTTACCTGAAAAAGTAAAAATACACAATTGAAATAAATAGTCATTACATCATAAGAAGAAATAAAAAGAGTGTACAATTGCAAGTTCATTATTTTGGCTATATTTTTTTTATTTGGTAAAAAATAATGGATCTATGGCCAATTTGTTTTAATTCGTTTGACTCGAAAATAAAAATATACAATTAAAATAAATATACATTATATATAAAGAAAAAAAAACAGAAAATATACACAATTGGTACTCCATTATTTTTGCTAAAAGTTTTTTATTTGGCTAAAATGATGGAGTTCCTACCAAACATTTTATAAATTCGGCCAAAAACAAAAAAAGAAATATGCAGTTGGAACAAAAAGACATTATATCTTGGAAGAAATTAAAAATAATAAAAGTTAGGAGTAAAGTCCACATTGTATGTTAAGATGAAGCAAGAAGAAATACATAGTTACAACAAATAAATCATTATTATATATGACTATATGACAATTAAAAGTTAAAAAATAACCTATTTGGAAGCTGATTTTTCAATTTTTTTTCACTCCCACGCGCGTAAAAGAGGGTGCACCCACACTCTTTGCCACATCAGCGTCCAGGGGGTAATGGCTCTCAAAAGGCCAAGTTGAGGGGGGTAATTAAGACCACGAATAGTTTAGGGCTGTAACTAATAATCTGTGCCAAGTTTTTTTTTGGG